CAAAAACCGATGTGCACAACTTCAATCCTTCTGTTATCTAAGACCAGTAAAATTTCTGCTCCAGCTTTTGTAGTTTCTGAGCCTTTATCTGGAAATGAAAGCCTATAATTTTTCGTTTAAAGGGAAATAACTCATAAGCGGAAGTAAATTTTTGAAATGTTAGATAGCATTCTGATAGAGTTTATTACCGTTTATAATGTCTGAAAATTTGAGCAAAATCCGTTGAGAAATGAGTGAGATATGAGGCCTCAAAGTTGGCGTCTAGGAAGAAAAAAAAAGAATAATAAGAATAATCTTAATCATCAGAATCAGTAGAAGGTCTTCCGTTGGAAACGGAAGACCTTAATAAATACAAGGATTACAGTATATAGCATAGTTGATATCGCTCCTGAAGAAGTCAGATAAACAAGGCGCACAGAATATCCAGTGCGACAAACGTGAAAGTAAAAATAAAGAATTCACAATTAAAAAAAATTCTTTGATATTTCATCTAACATTAAAGTATACTTCATTTAAAATCTCCACAATTAACCTACAATCAAGGTTTAAATTATTTGCCTCTGAAATAAAATACACACCCTAAAGAGTGCAAAAAGAATCATGCTCTCGAAGTAAAACACAATTTTCAATACTAGTGATGTTGATACTTTAAAGGAACTTTTAGAAAATTTGAAGTCATAAAATTTTACAAAACACAACAACATTAAAATCTACGACTTTTTATTGACAGATGCTTTTTCAATAAAAATGGAACCCGTTAATTTACTCACATTGTCATCGGTCGTTTGCAAAATTATTTTGACGAAAACATTCTGATTTTACACACAAGTTCTCTGAAGTTGATATTAAAAATATACTTGAGTTTCTAATTGACAATAGCTTTGTGGTTTTTAGAGACCAGGTTTGCAAACAGTCTATTGGAATTCCCATGGGAACCAATTGAGTCCTGTTTGAAGAAAACCTACTTTTTGAATTCATATATTCATCAAATATTAACAAGTTATTTCATTCTAATGTCGATACGATATATCCAGTGAGCTTGAAATAAGAGATACCACAGAGTTTGACACATCTGTTTAATATTTAGATATTTTACTTGAAAGTTAATCTTAATCTAACAACCAAGACTCATAATAAACGCGATGACTTTAACTTTTCAATTGTTATAAGTACCTTACTTATGCAGCAATATACATTCATCACCTGCATACAGGACTTATATCGCTCAGTTGATTCGATACGCAAGAGCATGCTCTACACGTACATGTATGTACAATTTCTAAAGCGAGGTAAATTATTGACAAATAAGTTGATAAAACAATAATATCAGCAGTCTCTTTAAAGTCATCATTTCGTAAGTTCTGTGTTCGATACAGTAATCTTGTAAGCAAATATAATTTATGATATAATCAAATTCTGACAGACGTTTTTCATACTATTTGTTATATACAAACACTGAATAGTCAAAGGATTTTCCCGTCATTTCCCGATCATGACAAGGGCCGTGACCGGTTGTCAGGGAATGTTCACTCCTCCATTAAACCTGATCCCACTTCTGATGTTTTTTGAGTCTGTGTTTGCACTGCCCCTATTTTGTACTGTTTAATGGACTTTTGAGCTTGAATACTGTTCCTTATCTCCATATATTTCATTATACAGGCTCCAAATACTATTGATTACAATACTTTATCAAAACATTTAAGGGAGTTAAAATCTCGCTGTTCGCGATAACAGGTAAAAATTCTTATCAAATAGAGTTACTGACTTAGGCTATTTTTTACCAGTTAAATAATTTGTAGAAAAAATCCAGCAAATAAAATGGACTTTATTAAAGTCTTACTACAGATTTTCAGCTTGTATATCAGTACGATCTTAGCTGATGACTGTTCTCGCGACCCGCGTGTCAGATATTTAACTGGAAAGAATGGAGTCCATGCACGGGTGTCTGTGGATCACAGTCTCAAAGAAGACAGCGATTTTTCTGTTGTCCTAAAACTGTTAGTCCTTACACTGAAGAAAACTGTCTTAAATACTGTAAACTGCCTTTGAATTTTGAATTACACCAGAATAAATCTTGCAAAATATGTGAAAATCAGGGAAAACTGAATATTTTATCTCTATCGTATGGAATCCGGATAGGGCCACGCACTTCACTATCGCACCATTGAGCATCAACTTAAAGGTCGATGGCGCGATAATGCGATGGTGCGATAACGATGAAACGGTGGTGCGATAACGATGAAGCGATGATGCGATAGCGCGATGACGATGATGCGATAGCGCGATGACGATGATGCTATGGCGCGATAATGCGATGGCGATGGTGCGATAGCACGATTGAGCGATAGTGAATATCGCTTCATCGTCATCGTACTATCGCACCATCGTCATCGCATCATCGTGTCATCACTATCGCACCATCGCGTCATCGTACCATCGCGTCATCGCATTATCGCACCATCGTGATCGCATTGTCGCGCCATAGCATCATCGTCATCGCGCTATCGCACCATCACTTCATCGCTATCGCACCATCGCCTCATCGTCATCGCATTATCTCTTCATCGCACTATCGACCTAAACCTCGATGGTGCGATGATGCGATAGTGAACTGCGTGGCCCTATCCGGATTCCATACTATCGTGCAAATGTGATCATCATTATAAGAACATATGTTGCCAAGGTAAGAGATAATTTAATTAAACATTATAGTCTGGTCCTGATTTTTAAAAAGAAGGCTAGAAATAACTTCTAACGGCAAATAATTATTATTTGGTCCAGCATAGTTTTTTAACCTATTTCGAGTATGCTGAATCCGAAAAAATATGCTGGCCTTCATGAAAATGGCGTTAAAGAGGTCAAAATGGCGATTCAAAATGGCGGACATCCCATTTTTCTAATTTTCTCTTAATGTCGTTCAAAATGGAGAAGTAATGAGTGAATATCTAACTGAGTGTAATAAAACTATAAAAATTATAATAGGATGCTAACATTATTAGTTAAACTCAGAAAATTTAGTCGTTTCTACACTTAATTCGAATTTTCTCTGATATTTTTGTCTATTGTTTCTATATTCTTCTTTGTTCAGGATTTTACATTTGAAAATATCCATACACTGCAGATATGTATTTTTCCTCTACATCACACTATTCTACAATTGAATGATAGTGCAGCTGTAAGTTAAAAGCCAAAATGGCGATTCAAAATGGCGGATATTCATCTTTTTCTTCAAATTATTTAATTTTTTTAATGTCGTTTACATAGGAGAAAGGATTTGTGAATATTTTACTGAGCGTAGTACAACTATGTAAAATGACAACAGAACACTAATTTGATCAATTTTAATAGGAAAATTTAGTCGTTAAATTTGAAATGTGTTAATAAGCTTAAACTGAAATGGCAATTCAAATAACGTCTGATACACTCGAATTTCGTAAAATATCCAAACTGCTTAATTCTGGTTCGTTTTGCAGAAAATAAATTACAGTTTGTTTTTTTATTCATGAAATAATGTTCAAATATTGCAATGAAAGTTTGTGGATATTTCTGTTAATGACTTAGGATTTTTATAACACGGATTTTTGTTCAATTACTACTATGGTTAAGATAATTTTTTGACGACAATTCCGAAGACATATTACCTTTTACCTGTCTCACCATTCTTCTTTATATAAAAATATCATATAATAGTTGCTGTTTTGAGGACAATATGAAAATTAAGCTACCCAAAGAGCAGTATCCCCCGAGCATTAAGGCGAGTGAACATGCATTCAGTTGTTGGGAATTCTTGATCTATTTTTAGTCCAGTGTCGAAAAAAAAATAAATGTTTATGTTCATCTGGAAGGTCTAGTGCAACATAACTGAGAATGATTTTTTAAATGATTGACCACTACCAATTATAGGGCTAGTACATCATATAAATATGAATATATTATAATATTCTAATATAAACATATATATTAAGAATTATCAATATAATATACGTAAAACATAAATTTTCTTGATTGTCCAGCTTTGATTCTGTGTCCCTACATTTGCATTTTGTTAATCTCAGTCAAAAATTCAACTGCATTCTCAAATATTTCATGCTTTGAACGGATAATTTTGTATTGAACAATGTATATAATTTTAAAAAATTTGAAATTTACAAAATCTGAAAGAAGAAAATGTTTGTGTTCAATCCCCCTCGATTCTTGATACAACCTTACACTATGATCAGACCTAACAAAGAAGTGTGGATCAAGTTGCCTTGTAAAGTTCTTGTTGTCAAAAGAAGTGTTAATTGACTAGATCGAAATCAGGAATGGCTTAGACCTATTGTTACGAAAGCTTGTAAGTAATAGGAATCACGAGAAATCTGCAGGCGCTCTTAAATTGCATAATTTTACAACTTTTCTCACCAAAATATACACACAATGTGATTTCAGATGATCAAGTTTGAGAATTTTCTTGCTAATACGCGTAGAATGACCTTCTTACCCTAAAAGACAACAAATCTATACAAGGTCACAAAATAAAGAGCTACACGTCTTGAATATCAGAGTTTTTTTTATTCACCCCCGTTTGAAAAGCGGGAGGGTATGGAGTAATCAGTATGTCCGTCCGTCGCTTTGGGGTACCCATCTTTTATCCGCAGCTCCTCTCATACCACTGAATGAAATTTAATGAAACTTTCACAGAATCTTAATTACATATTGCCATTGTGACCTCCTATTTTACTTTTTGACCCGACACATATTTTGGGTTTCCCATAGCAAAACATGGACACTGTCATTATATTCATCTGGGAGACCGGGGTATCATTAAGTGAGTTCATTGCTCATAGTACATCTAGTTCATTTTGCATATGGTTTTGGATAACAAAATAGACTTTTAATATTTGAACATAAATGTGTTGTTCCTTGAGTGTTGGTTGATTGATTGTACATTGTTTAAAGGAAACGTATGGTTTGCAAAAATATTTTCAAATTTCAAAGGTTGAATGGTCTGATAAATATTCCACCGGGTATTTTTATCTGATAATAGTTCGTTATGTAGAAAACACTTTGTAATTATAGATAAATTAAAGCTACTGGGGGCCGCCATTTTGAAAGATAAAGTTACCGTTCTTTACTATATTTCCCACAATTCCATCTGTTTATGACGTATGACAGGCAATTCCGCCTCTGAAGCTCAAATTGACAGAAAACAGGTCATGTCTGAATGCAAAGGTTATCAATATGAGCCGGAGTTTAATGAAGAAGAATTATTGGCAGCTTCAGCTGAAAGCTCTGATGATTTGGGAGTAAATGAAATAAATGAAAGAGGTGATAATACCAATTGGTGCACGTGTGGACATTGTGACATTCTTCCAAGTCAAAGAGAATGTGTATGCTGTAAGGAATTTGAGCATTATGCTGAAAATTATATTTCATCGCTATGTCCATGTATTTCACAGCATAGTGACTTTGACATGGTGTGTCTAAATAGAGTAGTTCTTGAAACAGCATATGTTGCATTTTTACGATATAAAAGGAAAAGTGGACAGGCTCCCCAAGTTCTGACAAACAGGTGAGTAGTTGTAAATAAATTATGGAAGTCATTTTAAAAAAGAAATATTTATTTCTTTGTAGTAAAAAATTCAGTGAAATACAATAAGAAATTTAAAAATAAGTATCACATATCTGAGAATATACATTAATTACTAAACAATTAAATATGAGTTTTATCACCTGAAATTAAATTGCATAAAAGTTAATGCATGGATCAATATCCAGTCAATAGTTACTGATTTTTCTTTTTAATTGTAGGCAATCAAGGCTCATGGCATATAGGCAATTTATTTGTTTTGTGAGGAGGGGACAGCCATTAGGGAAAAAGAATCGAGTGGTGTTACCTGCTTGTGTTGTGATTAAAATCAGAAAAGCATTCCCAGATGATGAGTATGAGGGTTTCCACAGCGAGTCATCAAGTTCGGATTCAGACTAAATAAAACTTTATCACCTTGACATTTATGTTCTTTTTCATTCTTCACTGAGAACTAGTGTAACACGGGCGTCCAATTAATTTAATTTGTAGCGAGAAAAATGAGATTCTATCAAATCCGACTTATCAGGAGCTGGAATTTTTGCGATGTTCTTTGGTAAATCCTTGGCCTTTCTTTGATGGGGTGTTGTGAATATATTTTCAGATATTTTTTTTTCCAAAGTAATTTCAAGCAATTCCTTTCGAAAGGAATAATTTTTTTCCTCATATCGACTCTTCACAGTCCACCTTCCTGTAGCTTTAGAACACTGAGGGGCAAATACTTCCTGGCCATATTTGTCAATTTTTACACCCCTATTCAAATTAAAGTTATGATCAAGAACAGCCAATTGGGTTCTTGCAACCATTTGGGGGTACTGAAATTCTTGTCGTTTTGGAACATATTTCAGCATCATAGAATGGTACACCTCAATTTCTCCTGTGTGACAAAAATGGTTGAGTTGTTTTAAATCCTTTTGTATTCATTTGTCCATTATAATTTTTTCCAGTGCTTTATATGCCTTGTTTTTCTTCTGAAGCCATTTTTTCCTTCGAGACTGCTCTAAAGAAAGCGGAGGATGACCACATTCAGTGTATTTTTCCCCATTGAAGGAGTGGACATTCTGAATATGGTATAAAATTGATGTCCACATCTCAATCAGTAGCTCTGGATCTCCTCTACATTCTGCAGCACAGTACCAAACATGATTTATTATGCTCCTTACCCATGGCATCAAATCTTCATTTTCTTTTTTCTTTGCTATAGCCACCAATTTTTTACGAATGCTATTTGCCATATGCCAGACATCAAATTGATGGGAAACGTGCGGCAATTGATCCTTTACATATTTTCTTATTTGTACATGCCTGTCACTGCAGAAAATTTTGATATTGATGTTATTATCAATAAGAGAATTGAAAGAGCGTTTGAATCCCTCAAGCTCCATACGGGATGATGAACCAGATTCTGTAACTTGAATGACCTTGAAATCTAGTATTGCAGAGCTTACAGCTTCCATAATAGTGTATGTGCAGTATTTTGCACAAAACCCAGGACTATCACATCGTCCATCTCCAATAACTGTCAATGGTTTGTTTTTAAGACGTTCATGTAAAACAGTTCTTTGCTCATTGTAAAAAGTATCTATTGCAGGCAGAACAAATTTGTTTCCAATATCATAAAATACCGATTTGGAAATGTAATTTAATCCTAGTGTACTTGCAAAGCTTGATAAAGAAGAGAATGTATTTCCTGAGGCATATGTTGCTGCTGTCAAAAGGATATTACCTACAGGTTGCTTTCCAATATATGATTGAGATTTCCAGGAATAGGAGTGATTATTTAAACATGTAAAACTGACCTTCAATGCACTTCCATCGACGGTTTTCCTTACATCATCAAAATCAAATGGTGAATGACAGATCTGACATACAATCATTTTGAAAAGAACATCCAGACAGCTTGAAAAAACCATAAACTTTGATTCATTGACTGTATCCTTTGGTAAATTATTTTCTGCACCCATGGGAATAGAAAAACTTGCACTTGGTGATGAAACTGGTGATTCAAATGAATTTTCAGAAAAATGAAAAGAATCATCTATCTCATGTACTGGGGACACATTCTCTAGTGAATCATGAAAGGAATCTGAGACAGGGTTTTTCATGGGAGTGGATGTAAGAAGTGGGTCCGGTTCACTTGGCACTTTGGAATAAACATGATCTGATATTGAAATCATCGGATTGCTCGTTAGGATGCATGCTGGACAATGACTGGGCATTTCTATTTGTATATTGCATGAAGTTGATTTATCTTCTGATTGGATAGGAATAGTTGAAGTTTCCTTATTTTTCATTTCTTCATTGAGCTAAATATAAAGAAAATTGATTATTGATTCATCATGTTCATATTGTACTAAATTTACAAATTCCATGAAGGGATATGTATTACACTCAGTATTCACCTTTATCTTTTTTGAAGATTTCACTTTTCCTGCTGATCTTCTCTTTCTTTGATTTATTGGTACATCTGTGAAGAAAGAATGTTGCAATGTGAAACTTTATACAGAACAAATCAGCTGATATAGCACTACACTCCTGTAATTGCCGCGTAAATGTCAAGCCTTGAAAGATTAACTGCACAGTGGGAATTAAAACGACCTTGATTGTAAAACTTTCCCAGATAATATTAGAGAAGGTATCAAATAACCTGTTTTATTCGCTGTTGATGGACCAGGTTGGTCATCAGGCTTTGCACTTGTGTCTTTATTCGTTTTCACAAGACTTCTGATTAGCTGTAAAATGAAAAGAAATTGTATTGAATTTTAATTATAAATCTACTCACGGTCGATTTTATACATGCACATGTATATTTATTTTAGCATGAAGTTTGCTGTTATATTTATTTGTACAAGTATGAGGATAATGTAAATACCCTATATAATTACCTCTTGTTTGTCCCTTTTCTCAGATCTTTTCAAGCTTGTTTTTCTTATTTTCTCGGGCTTGCTGTCATCAAACACTGTAGGTACTGCATCCTCTTTTAATTGCTTTCTCTTTGGTGTGTATCCCATTATCTTAGCCTTTAACAATTATAGTAATTTTACTCAAAAAAAATTAAGCGGTGTTTCCTTTTTATTCTTAGCATGCAGTGAATACAATATTCAAAGGGGGGGGGGTATTTTTTTAAATAATGATAATGCATGGGTATGATATATTTCAGATTTGCATAGAAATCCTTGTTAATTATACAGATCAAAATATCAAATCTAAAACCTCAAAGAACTAAAAAAAATACGTACCTACCATCATATCCTCTTTGAAACAATCTTCTTTAAAATGCCGTTCACATACAATTTTATCATTTGAATAAACAAAAGTTTTTGGATTTAATTTTGCATTCCCAAGGTTATGAATCCATTTTGCACAAAGTTCATAATTCTTTTTTGGGTCAGGAATGCTAAAGGTAGATATTCCTTTTCCTCTGACCACAGTGCAAAATTTTGCTTGGCACTCCGGCATTTTTGGTTATTGGAATGTGAAACACTGCGACTCTGTAACCCATTTAGTGCGACAGGCACAGCAGCTGTGATATGAATAGACGTTAGTACGTCATCAGCCGCCATGATGAGGGATTCTCCCAGTCAGCTTAATTTTCAGTGTAAAAGACCGATTATTTCTTGTTATCAGCAGTAAATCATTTTAATTTGTGAAGTTATGTTATCTTCATGGTACCAGGTTTCATATGTTAAAATTAAATTTTTGACCATACGTTTCCTTTAACGCCGAGTCGGCAGTTTTTCAGCCATGTTTCGGCGGACCCTCAGTTTAAATAATTGGTTTTTGAAGGATCTTGGTTTCTCTGGCGGCCCCCAGTGAGCTTACTCTTTTTCGAACTCCAGAGAAACGATCTTTTACATGCCAAAGGTGTTGTCATCCTTGACACGGGGCACCATTTTGATTGAGTGTTGAAAATACCAAAATTCCGAAGACAGACTGAAACATATACCAAATAAAGATGGAATAAATGATGTTAGGGGATAATTCTAAGTTCTTATAAGTGCTAAAAAGCTAGAACAAAGTGTTCAATGAAATCGGATAAGAATTTCTTGTTATATTTGATGGTGTGCCAAGGGATGTTGAGGTAGAAGTGCAGGTTGATAATGAAAGGATTGAGTGATTTTAGGTGGACGGGGGCTCAAATACGAAGGGGGAAATTTGAAAACCCTTCAGTCGAGTTTGTTTTAACTATTTCCAGAGAAAATGAATCTTTTCAAGTATTTTTGTTCATATTTAATGGAATAATCAATATACTATACATACTATATATATATATAATTGACAAACTGTAATTTTTTTTGTGCAAAACGAACCAGAATTAGGCAGTTTCTACGAAATTAGAGTGTATCAGACGTCATTTTGAATCGCCATTTTGAGCTAATTAACACATTTCGAATTTAAACGACTAAATTTTCCGATTTAAAGTGATCAAATTAGTGTTCTGTAGGCAATTTACATAGTTTTACACGCTCAGTAAAATATTCACAAATCCTTTCTCCTATGTAAATGACATTAAGAAATAATTAAAAAAATATCCGCCATTTTGAATCGCCATTTTGAATTTTAACTTACAGCTGCATCATCATTCAGTTGTAGAATAGTGAGATGCAGAGGAAAAAATACATATCTGCAG